AATAAAATATTTAAATTTAGTTTAAGAGGTGTTAATTGAACTTTTTATCTAAAGTTTTTAGCTCAAAATTTCAAATTTAAGAATAAAATATATTAATAGAACTAAAATACCAAATTAAAATGGAGTCAAATTTTATTTAGTGACAGCGCGTATAAAATGCTTTGTATTTAGCAATTTACTTATACTTGAGTTGTTTTAAGGCATGGTGACATTTAATATAAAAATATTCTATTTTTGTGTCTACAACTGAGATTCTTTTAAATGTGAAACTCTTTGAAAGTAAACTTTAGTTTTTGTAGCCTGTAAAATTGTTTTAGAACCTATTTAATTTATTTAGTTTGTTGTAAAAATCTAAATTGCATGATTTTACTGCATCTAAGTATTTACTCACTTCCATGTTTTTATGTAATTTTACTGAATTGTAAATTCTGAAATAAACTATGTATGCATTACTATATCTTGAATCGTAAAATAATTTAATAGCCCAGATGCAAAACCTTAACTGCGGCCTAAAAATAAGATTAAAAATATTTACAAACCAGATTTTTAATTGAATTTAACTAAATAGTATATAAGAAATGTTAAATACATTATCTTTAACTGCTTTTCATTATGACAGTTCCTAAGTTCTGCACCTGGACATTTGCAAATATAATATAAAGAAATAGTATTTTCCGTATAGTAATGTAACAGTGTTAGTTTATTTTAAGCAAATATTAAACTGTCTCGTGTATTTAATTCCCTCTGCATTGTTTTATTAAATGCCGAATGGCTTCTGTAAATGTCTTGAATAAATTTATGCTTTTGATTAGTAAAATTCTAGCGTGTATTGCTCAATTAGTGTGTATTGCTAAATATTATAATTTCACAATAGCGGGTTTTTATTCTTAGGGATAGTTGTTGTTGTTGTTGTTAATTTACGTCGCACTAGAGCTGCACAATGGGCTATTGGTGACGGTCCGGGAAACACCCCGGAGGATGATCCGAAGACATGCCATCACAATTTTGATCCTCTGCGGAGGGGATGGCACCCCCGCTTCGGTAGCCCGACGACCTGCGCGCGAAGTCGAGCACTTTACGGTAGCACAGTTTAACGAGGACCAATACCGCACACCCTCGGTCCCTACGCAGACTGATCCAAGTGGTCACCCACCCGCACCCTGACCGCAGCCAGTGATGCTTGACTTCGGTGATCTGCTGGGAATCGTGTCTTAACGATCAGTCCACTACGGGACTCTTAGGGATAGCTTAAATATTACGTAAGCTTGTTTTAAGAAATTTCGGACCCCCTACCTCTTGTCAGCAAAATAAGAACTACGTCATGCTTATTTAAAAAATAGTCTCTAAAAACCTATTTTCATTAACTTTAGAACACTTCTGCAAAAAATAGGTTTAGTCTTATTTCAAATAAACAATCGATGCAAAAAAAATTCTTTTATTTCATATTAATCTCTTGTTTACCTTCAGTGATTGAAACTCTTACCTCTTATCCTAGAAATTACGTCCTATTTCTTAACTTTTATATTAAAATTTTGGAGTTTTGCGAAGTGCAAATTTTTTCAGTTCTCAGCAAGGTTTTTTGAAATAAACCTTACTCACTCTTTTTCCTTGTCAGCAAAAATAATAATATCCCAATATAATATAGATGGTATATATAGAGAGAAATAGCTTTTCCATAATGTGATGTAACAATATGTGATATAACAATGCTAGTTTATTTTATGCAAATATTAAATTGTCTCGTGTATTTACTTAAATCTGTATTGTTTTATTAAATTCCAAACGGCTTCTGCAAATGTTTTGAATTAATTTCTACTTTTGAGAAGTAAAATTTTAGTGTGTATTGCTCAGTATTATAATCTAATAATAGCGGGTTTTTATTCTTGGGGATCGCTTAAATATTACGTAAGCTTGTTTTAAGAAATTTGGAACTCCCCCTCCCCTCTGGTCAGCAAAATAGCCCCGTCATGCTTAAGTTAAAAAAAGCCTATAAAAACCTATTTTCATTAACTTAAAATTGGAATACTTCATCAAAAATAGATGTATTCAAATAAACTGTGCAAAATTCTTACTTTATAAAACTAATTTAGTTTGTATTAATCTCGTGTTTACCTTCAGTGGTGANAAAAAAATTCTTTTATTTCATATTAATCTCTTGTTTACCTTCAGTGATTGAAACTCTTACCTCTTATCCTAGAAATTACGTCCTATTTCTTAACTTTTATATTAAAATTTTGGAGTTTTGCGAAGTGCAAATTTTTTCAGTTCTCAGCAAGGTTTTTTGAAATAAACCTTACTCACTCTTCTTCCTTGTCAGCAAAAATAATAAAATCACAATATAATATAGATGGCATATATCGAGAGAAATAGCTTTTCCGTAATGTGATGTAACAATATGTGATATAACAATGCTAGTTTATTTTATGCAAAGATTAAATTGTCTCGTGTATTTACTTAAATCTGTATTGTTTTATTAAATGCCAAACGGCTTCTGAAAATGTCTTGAATAAATTTGTACTTTTGAGAAGTAAAATTTCAGTGTGTATTGCTCATTATTATAATCTCACAATAGCGGGTTTTTATTCTTGGGGATCGCTTAAATATTACGTAAGCTTGTTTTAAGAAATTTCGGAACCCCCCCCCCTTCTTGTCAGTAAAAAAAGAACCATGTCATGCTTATTTAAAAATAGTCTCTAAAAATATATTTTCATTAACTTTAGAACACTTCAGCAAAAAATAGGTTTAGTTTTATTTCAAATAAACGATGCAAAAAATTCTTTTATTTTATATTAATCTCTTTACCTTCAGTGATTGAAACTCTTACCTCTTATCCTAGAAATTACGTCCTATTTCTTAACTTTTATATTAAAATTTTAGAGTTTTGCGAAGTGCAAATTTTTTCAGTTTTCAGCAAGGTTTTTTGAAATAAATGTTACTCACTCTTCTTCCTTGTCAGCAAAAATAATAAAATCCCAATATAATATAGATGGCATATATCGAGAGAAATAGCTTTTCCGTAATGTGATGTAACAATATGTGATATAACAATGCTAGTTCATTTTATGCAAATATTAAATTGTCTCGTGTATTTACTTAAATCTGTATTGTTTTATTAAATGCCAAACGGCTTCTGCAAATGTTTTGAATTAATTTGTACTTTTGAGAAGTGAAATTTTAGTGTGTATTGCTCAGTATTATAATCTAATAATAGCGGGTTTTTATTCTTGGGGATCGCTTAAATATTACGTAAGCTTGTTTTAAGAAATTTGGACCCCCCCCCCTCTGGTCAGCAAAATAACCCCATCATGCTTAAGTAAAAAAAATTCTATAGAAACCTATTTTCATTAACTTAAAATTGAAATACTTCATCGAAAATAGACGTATTCAAATAAACTGTGCAAAATTCTTACTTTATAAAACTAATTTAGTTTGTATTAATCTCGTGTTTACCTTCAGTGGTGAACTCTTACCTCTGATAACCCAGGAAATTTTGTCTTATTTTTTTAATCTTTTAGAATTTTATATTTTAAGCCGATAGACTTGCTCTTTTTCTCAAATGGCGAAATGTGCATTTTGCCATTAATGTTTACTTAAAAAGAATCTTCGGAAAAAAAATGAAATCATAGAGAGAAATTTTAAAAGTCTCTCTACACTTATATATATTTACAATATATATATTAACATGGAGTCCCTTGATTAAAATAATGCTTTTGGTCCGTAAAATTACACTATGTAGCCAATAAAATATAACTAATATTATAATTTACTAGGCATAACCATTTCGAAGTTTGTGCAAAACGGGGCATGATATCTTTAGATAGAATTTGTGGTTGCAAAAAATGTACTTTTAATTTTATTTGCAACAGTACAGAAGAGAAAATTTAATTTAACATTTAAATTATTCAAAAGTATATTAGTTTTATAAAAATGCGCAATTTTAGACCATCATTCATTGTACCTATTTTATAATTACGTAAATCATGTAATAGTCTGTGAGTACTATACACTCTAGAGTATAATTTCCTCCCTTCACAATTCTTGTGAAGTTCAATATTGCTCGACAATGAAGCGCAAACTAAATATTAAACTATTTCATGCTTTCCAAAATCTGAAAACATCGGGCAGAATATGCAAGTGTTGCATCTTTTGATTTTACAATTTTAATAATCCATCAGTATATAACCAAAACAGCAAACTATTTAAATCTGATTTGCAGGAAAATAACAGTTTTTACGATAAAATCGATCATAAAAATAACTCCAATCGCGAATTTTTTTCAGATTAATACTTGCCTAAAAGATATGACTTTGTCTATCCTAAGGAAATTGTATTTTCATTAAGGGTAGTAAATGCTAATCACAACTTCAAATTTGCAGCCTATTTTAATTTATCAATCCCTCACAATGAAGAGTATGGCAATTGATTTTTCAATAAATCTAGAACCGTCGAAAGCTGGTAGAATTATCCCACCAGGAAACTTCGAGAAACTCGGAAAAAAATTACTTTATAAATAATCATTATAATTGTTAATGATCAACATTATTATTACATAGTAAAACTAAGATTTCATTATTTGCTTAAAATTTAGTAAAATTTGAGGGAAAAAAAACATTAAATAAATTATAGTAATCACAATATAATGTAATAAATCCCAAGATTATATTTTTCACTCTGTTTAATATTTTTGCAAGATATTCATTTACATCAAATGCCACAGTAAAAAATTAGAACAGAAAAATTTTTTATTTCAACAAAAATGTCTAAAGATGCTAAAAATTTACATTACTAAATAACTAACATCATTACTTACATCAAATGTCATAGTAAAAAATTAGAACAGAAACATTTTTCATTTTTACAAAAATGCCTGAAAATGTTAAAAATTTGCATTATTAATTAACTAAATATCTAAGTCACATTAATTCACAGCAGTCCTAAAAATGGCATATTATTTCCTAAAAAGAGCTTTTTCATGTAACAACTATCTTCTAAAAACAACCTTTAAGAAAGTCTTGCAAATTTTATTTACTGTAATTTATGAATCTGATATAATACAGAAAGGAATAAAGCATTTGATTTTTACCACATACTCTTCTGGTGTTTTGAGAAACATAATAAGCATCATCAATTTTGTAAGTTATTTATTTATTTATTATTTATCTATAAGACATCTTAATGATCTATGCATTCCAAAACATCTGCATTTCAGAAATTTACTTTCAGAATTCGAAGCAAAAAATTATCGTTTTCAAACATTTCTGAAACCATGTTCTATAGTTATCTTTTCATCACCTCTGTGTCTTCTTAATGTTTTTTTTCGTCCTGGAGAGTTACATCTTGTGGTTAACATTGGCAAAATACTTCGCAATGATGAGTTTTGATACCCTACAGGGGATTCACAATTGCCAGCAAAATCAATATCATCACTTAATATACTATTCAACCAACGAATCCTGCAGTCACAGTGTATGGAATTTCCTATTCATAAAATGAATATTTTGTTAGATATCATTGCCCAATTAAAAAGTGGAAAGCGCGCGATAGCGTCAGAAAGTACTGTAGCGATAGCAGCCTCACACTGCAGGAGTCATAAATAGAAGGGGAAAAAGTGCACTACAGATTGCCCATTATTAATTAACCAGTTAACATACGAGCATTTAAAGTGAATGTAAAGTAATGCTAAGATGAAAGCATCCAGAATAGAACATTATGCAGTGGGTAAATTTTAAGTGGTATAAGGTGAGCGTAATTCAGATATATATATATACAAATGTTTGCTGTTTTTGGAAACACATTCTATAAGTCTAGAATAAATGACTGTAAAAAACGTTTTAATGAAGAGCTTCATCAGCACCTTCAAAGACCAAGGCAAGCAAATGATGCAATTTCTCGTGCATCTATTACTGTTGTTGATAAAGTGATTAAATGTAATCAAATTTCTCGATCAGTAACAATAACGCAGAGCTTTATATTACATGAATAACACGTTGATGCAATCACCTTCTGCAAGTAAAAATTGTACTTCGTGTTGATCGGAAGTGGACATAACCTCTCACTTTAAATACTTACTTGTAGTCTCGTTAATCTATATTTCTTCTGTGATGCATTCCTTTTACCTTAATTTGTAACCTTGATAAGTGGAGCTGTTATGATAACGTTATTTGTGATACTACCGCACTTGTCCACTTTTCATTCAGGTAATCCATATATGTTCCAATAGAAGTCAAATTAATAGTAGTAACATTTTGAAACCAGAGTGATAAAACATCAAAAAATCTATATTTTTACATTTTTATTTCTTAAGAACTATTCGATTAATTTTATTCACATTGTTTTTGTGTTTTTTGTGTTTTATTCACATATTTTGTGTTTTTAAATTGCATGGTTTAAAATGGTCTGAAAATTAGTAAACCTGACAATTCAAAAATTTTTTAATTATTATTAAACGGAATAATAAAAAATTATTGAAAATTATTTTTTAGGTGGAATTATTTTTGAATAAACGAATTTTATAATTAGTTACAAAAAATTTCGAATCACTTATCTCGAGGTATGTTAAAATACGCAAAAAATAACCATTGAGGGGCCCAGATTTTCGACCGCTCTCCTTATTAAATACAGTGAAACCTCCGTTAAGCGGACATTCATGGGACCAAAAAATTTGTCCGCTTATGAGAGTTGTCCGTTTACGGGAAGGGTACTCTAATAACAAAAATTAACACCATAAATTGTTTTTAGAATATTCTCAAAGATGTAGAAATAATTAAATAATATCTACAAAGGATACTGTAAATATCTACAAGAATATTTATTTAAACAATAAGAAAGATAAAAAAAGAATATATAAGGAAGTTTGATATAAATATATAATTCTGGATGCAGCTACAGATAAATAAATATAATTTTCCTATTAGCATAGATACTCAAGTTAGACATATGATACCAAATAGGAGCGTACTGTCCTCAGTCCGTTTCAATTATTAGGTTCACATCCCCTTACACCTACTTATCATTTGATAGGGAACATGGTTAATACCTTCTTGGAAAATAAACCTCCCATTATTCACAGAAAAAAAAGTAATGCATACCTGTAAGTCATGAGGACCTATGGAGATGATTATTCACTATTGATCAGCTATCAAGTGTCTGAAAAATGTTTCATTTATATAAACACCTCAAAGATTATACTTCTGTTCTCTTTTTTTTACAGTCTTCAAATTGATAAGAAAATTAAAGANTTTTTACGTGGAATTATTTTTGAATAAACGAATTTTATAATTAGTTACAAAAAATTTCGAATCACTTATCTCGAGGTATGTTAAAATACGCAAAAAATAACCATTGAGGGGCCCAGATTTTCGACCGCTCTCCTTATTAAATATATCCAGAGATCATATTCTTCAGATTGTAACTACCCCCTTCCACATTTTGATGGTGAAAAATCCAAATTCTTCGAAAAACTAAAGTTTTATTCAGAGAAACTTCGCTTTTCGTGTTTAATTTTGTAACTTATGTAATAATTTGCACAAATTGATTAGTGTATCAATAGTCACCTCTTTGAACTATTCGGATTGGCACTTAATTTGTGAAGATACAATCATTAGAACAAAAGTTATTTATTTCTTTATTTTGTCTTAAAGAACGCAATGAATTTTTCAACAATCCAGGGCATCCCTTTCTCTCTCTTTTTCTTGATGTCTTTGGAAAGAAATTTTCAGTGTCTGCTGCATTACTTCTAAACTAAAGTCAGTGGCGCGACAGCCCATAGAGGGCCAGGGCCTACTGTGCCCATCTCAGTTTTCTTAATCTTGGGATCTGAGGTGCAGGAGCAGATGTTCCGATCAGGTGGTCAGCCGAAAGCGGAATCCCCAGTGCTTAGTTCCCAAGCATGTTTGGTACTCATTTATCAACCCACTGAAGGGATGAAAGGCTGAGTCAACCTCGCCCAGCCCGGGGATCGAACCCAGGACCTCTGGCACGGGAGCGCGAAGCGAACCACTCAGCCATCGGACCTCACCATTACTTCTGCTTTAATAAATGATGGAGGTGAAAAGATTCAGTGTTTTTCATCACTCCTGATGTGTAGCCAGTGTCTACATTTTGTTCTAAAAATTCGGGTGTCGATCGGAACTTTTCTGAAACCATTAACAATACAGTCTTTAGAAACGTTTTTCCAGGCAAACGATATTAAGATTAAAGCTTCTAACGCGTTTATTTTTCTTTTTGTATAATTAAGTTGCACAAGACTACAACTCGTCGGTATTTCAGGGAATTTTTTACATTAATGATAAAGTAAAAAAGAACTTAACAAGCTAGAAAGACTCTGAAAGTTTGAAATTCGTATTTGCGGGTGACGTAAAATCCGAGTTCTACTGTAGTTGTTAAAATTTTTATAGTTATTTAAATAGGCTTAAGTAAATATGATTTTAAATAAAAACCTACCTTCAAAATCGACTTTTTTCAACCCCTTTGGAATTACATTCCATTTGACCATTGTTTTAATAAGATTGTATTTTATATTAAAAGTCTTCAAATTCCATAAATGAGTGAAGAAATCTGGCGATAGGCTTTGAATTGAATTCCAACTGTAATAAATAAGCATAAAAGTAAATTATTTAGATATTTAAGCATTTAATACCTGGTATGATCTAAAATCTATCGACATTTTTAGTCTTAGGGCTTTTTTCAAAGTTCTAAAAAATATCAGTGAACTGATTGATCTGTAACTTTTAGGTATGTGAAAATTATGCAATACTCTCTCTTTTCAGTAAAGATCTATTTACTAAGAGGTTTTGAGGACCCTGTCGTAATTATTATTTTCTTATTTAGTTACGAGAAGGTTTAGGAAATGCATGTTTGAACACTAGATGCCGTAAAAATAGCAGCCAATACATGAATCTCCGTAACTTTTTCTCAGTATTTACAAATATGTTGCTAAAGTACATGGGATTTAGCAAACCTGAAAAACATGAGAAGAAAGGAAAAATATATAAATAATCCTTAATTTTTTTGTCATTTGTTTCTTAATTTTAGTTTAAAAATTATTCTAGCAAATTTAACGAAAAGTCATAAAGAAAGATCACATTAAAATTTGATTAAAATGTATACAAATTAAGGTGTATTTAAATGAAAAAGCAATACTTTGCGTGGACGACAAAAAAAATCAATCACTTGGAAGTCAAGCTTATTAGGTATCGTAAGAAAGAAAAAAAAATGGAATATCGTCAAAACTCAAAAAGTTTTTCAAAAATAAGAAAGCTTTAAAATTTTGAGTTTTATTTTTTTTACTTTTATTTCAAATTTTGCATCAGAAAACAAAGTACACTAAATGTATTTAAATGTAACATATGTTTTCATGCGATGCCTTCTGCTCAAGGTCGTCTCTCATCGTACTAAACTCTGCATATAAGACCCACATCTGCTTATAAGACCAACTCTGCATATAGACCCACATGTGATTGTTCTAAATTTTATAGGAATTTTATGAAATTTTGGATTGATAATCAAGTAAAGAAATTCTATGCTACTCATTTTAATTTTTAACCTTTTATATGAATCCAAAATATTTTTAATGATAATATTATTATTTAAATTACCAAGCTTAAAAGTTTTTTAACTCCGTATTTAAAAGTCCAACATAGAATTTTTTACAGAACTCTGTTGAACTTACTATGTTGAACTTTTAAATACGAAGTTTAAAAAATTTTGAGCTTAGTAATTTAAATAATAATATTATCATAAAATTTTTTTTTACTTTGTATGAGAGATTAGAAATTAAAATTAGCAATTTCTTTACTTAATTATCAGTCAAAAGTTTCATAAAATTCCTATAAAATTTAGAACAATCACATGCGGGTCTAATACTTACTAAACTAAACCGGGCGCTATTTTCTCTAACTACTTAATTTATTAACAATATTATTAAAAGAGGTTTTTCTAGGATTATCACTGGTATGGGTATCAACCGATTTTAGAATTTATTAAGCAAAATAAAGTTAACTCGATTGCGACTTTTGATTTCCAGGATCAATAGCATTTCCCTTTCCAAACTAAAAAATGTTCTTTTGAGTTATTACTATGCTTTTAAAAATATCCGTAATTACGATTTTGATTGTTGGAAAATTCGAATTAATTCTTGTCACATAATTATCTTTACAATAAAAAATATATTCTTATTCAAATTGATAGAATATCACATGGATCTAATTTTTCATCTTAGCTAACTTATTTTTACACTTATATGAAAAAAACTGTACTCTTAATATTAAATTTATTTTTAGATTTATTGATGATTTAATTATCTTTAATTTTCATGATTATACAATTTTATTAAATAATATTCACCCTGAGGAATTAAACTTGCTTTGCAATCATGATGATAACATTATTTTTAATTTTTTGAATTTGGGTATTAAAAAAGAAAAAAATATCTGTTTTGTTGATTTATACGACAAAAGAAGTTATTTCAATTTTAATATAAATAAACTAATTACTTGGAATTCTTATGTTTCTAAAAACATCTATATTTAAATACCATTTTTAATCAAAAGAATAGAATTAAAATAATATGTAGCAATGTTTATTTATCGAAAAGACGAACTCTTTAAAAATTTGATAAAAAACAATGGATACCAACTAAAGTAATTAAATTCTATGTAAATGCATTGAGTTAATTGTATATTATTAATAATTATTTACTAAAAACTTCTTTGTTAATTTATATTTTTACCATGTGCAAATCCAACTCGGGCAAATTCATTGCTAAAAATCAGGGCGAAACGGACAAATCATGTTTCTCCCTCTCCCCATCCCCTCTCTCACTTAATTGTTGATTTTCTAAAATCATTAAAATTTTATAATTGAATATCAACCTTATTAATTATAAATTTCTCTTAATTTTTCAGTATAATATTATTACCTTGAGCACATCCATTTTTTTAGCCAATCCTCGGTAATCAACAAATCAAATGAGTTTCAGAACTGCAGTTAGAACGCGCCAAAAAACAAAATCCCTCTATTTACGCTTTTATCTAATTACGCTTACTTTTTTAATACTTCTATATACGCACTTCTGTTTTCATATTTTGTAATCTGGCAATCTTATTACGAATATATTTTAAATCATTCTTGAAAGATTCCGGTACATGTAAGTTTATTTCAATTAGCTACTTTTTTTTACAGATTTCGGTTTTTTGTTTTATCTATACATTTTATTTTCTGTTTTTCTGCGTGATACATTTTTTACTTAATAGATTCTACTTCGTTTCAATATTTTTGTGTGCTCCACTATTGATTGCTGACACTATTGTATTGATATATTTTGCTTTGGCTATATTGATACAATATTAGAAAGCACTCCTTTTTGTGGCTATAATCGTTTGAGCTAATGAAGAGATTATATCTTTTCATTTTTTTTGTTTTCGAGCTTTTTAATATGTATATATATATTATTTTTCTTTAAATTTTTTTTAAATATTTTATTTTAATAATTTTTTTTCTTCTCTTTTCCTTAATCTTTATTATTTTACATGTTATATCTATATTTTTAACTTGCAAATGAAGTAATTTTTTCAAATGCGTTCACAATTACACTCCTCCTCCCCCCTCATTTCAAGCTAGGCAATGGAGACGAAGGGTAGACCTAAGTTCTAGGATAGATATTTCTATGAGTATTATTAACCATTTTTGTGTAAGCAAAGAGTTAGAGTAATTAAAATAACTCAAATTTTAGAAGTAGGTACCTTTAAAACATTTTAAATATCATAAGTGACTTACTTATACCGTTCTGAAGGTAATCCTTTTAAACTTAAAAAATTAATGTAACATTTAATAACTACTATAATGACTTGTATTAGCTTAATTTAATTTACTTGGGTGTAAAATTAAAACGAAGTAATGTAATGCCATTTCGGTGCATTTGATGTTTGATATCAAGATTTTATTTTTAATCAATAATGTATTCACCCTCGTTAGCAACAACCTTTCAATGCCAGATATACACCGAAGAGCCATTACATTATGACCACCCTGCTAATAACATGTAGAACCACCTTTAGCCCTGAAAACTGCTAGCACCCGCCGTGGCACTGATTGCACAAGGTGCTGATAGGTAGTCTGAGGTATCTGGTACCAAGCGCTCACCAACTGGTCCTGCAATTCCTTCGCATTGCGAGGGGGTAGCGTGGCAGCACGAATTTGGTTTTCCAAGTAGGACCACAAATGCTCTATTGGATTAAGGTCAGGTGAATTTGGGGGCCAAGACATGACTTGAAAGTCACTGGAATGTTCCT